AAAAAATAGGTATTTCTGGGTTTTGGTTCCTCTGCTAGCCAAAGTTTTTCTCCCCGTATACAGCAAATTACTTTTCTGGCTTTTCTAAACCTTTTAGCATCTTCGCTGTATTTTACTACAACATTTATTTCCAAACATGGATTTGAAGATGTGGAAAGCTGTGGTGACTACAAGCTTTCACCTTCTGCTTCCTAAGCAAGAGATGCTTCACAGTTGCTCTCCCTTCCCCGCCTGCCCAGGGAACAGGCGAGAAATTCCCAGGACAGGCTGTCAGGAGCAGACACTTGCAGTGACCGCTGTATATTCTCCCCCCTGGGTGCACAAGCGTGGCAGGATGCCGCACCTGCATCCCATCCGAGCTGTGGCCCAGCTTCTGGAATTCCCTGGACGTGGCAGCACCGCAGAGCTTGCGGGAGGGTGTGCTCTGCTTCAGCAGCAACGCCACAACGCCCAAGCTTCCCTCCAGCTCTCCCACTGCTGTTATCTGTCCCAAAACACTAATTCTTTTTAAGGACCACTCACTCTTTTGGACCAAGTTGCGTTTATTTGAAATTTTATTATTCCTGTGGGAAGAGAAGCGGACGGTGCTTCACCTGCCCCGGTCACTAGCGAGCATCACCACTCCCGAGCAGCAGCTGTGTGCTGCCCCTTCCCTGACATCAACCCAGGGACATGGGACCACACAGACCCAGCCCCGAGTCCCAGCTGCCAGAGATCAGCCGTAATGTCAGGCTGAAAGATTCAATTCGTGCCACAGCCGAAGAAATTCTGCTTAACACAAAGCAAGCTAATGCTACGTGTCTGTGCCTAGAAGTCTGGGCAAAAACATTAACATGTGACTATAAAATGTATTTGATCCATCCACTTATTCCCCCCCTCCTCCCAGGGGAAAGCAGTATTTCTTAAAAATGAACACTGCCACCACTCCTTTCCTCTCCTGAGCTTCAGTTCTCTTTGTAAAGGCCACCAGGACGTGGTCAGTTCATCATCCCAGAGCGCACAGACTTCCACAGACTCATACGGAAATTACCTGATGTTTTCTTCATCAGAGTGACTCGAGTTGTTAAAACATTTCCATTACCCCTTTTCTAGTAATCAGTGCAAAAAACATTTTTTTTTTGAGATAACGTACAGCTCAAGCGTTAGTCATATAAGCTCATTATTTCCAAGAAAATATGGGTAAGAGTTATCCCACCGGCCAGCCAGGGTAAGTTGGGGTTAACTCCTTTAATAAAGCATGTTATTGCCTAATACGCATAGCACAAACCCTTACTTTTTAACCATGCTACTGTTCTTGAGTGGTTTATTCAGTTTAACTCAGATTATATTTTCAAAATTAAGACCATGTGCTCTGTTAATAACATACAAATAAAATCAACAACGTGCTCTGAAAAGGGATCCTGGCAGACACAGATTTCACACTACATACATCCCCTACACGTGGAGCAGGTAAAGCCATTCAATTAACGGTGACAGAAAGAAAATGATCTAGTACTTACATTGACCTTCATTCTGTTGTCTCCTAGTTGCCTGTTACTCCATCACCTGAGGAGGAGGATGCGATCCCAGCCCTTTCTCTCCCAGCCCAGCCCAGCCCAGCAGCTGAGGCAGGAGCCCGCAGAGCCAACGCCCGACCTCCCTCCACCTCCCGCCGCCTGTGCTGGGAGCCCCGGGCTCATTACAGAGCAAAATTCCCTGCAGGGGGCAGTTGGCCCGCAGCTGCTGACCGTAATGGGGGCCCGGGGGAGGACCCGCAGATGTCCCTCCTGCAGACACCCCCGGGGAAATGCCTGTTCTGCTTTGCAACTGCCTCTTCTTAACAGGAGAACGCAGGGCGGTGGGGCAGAACCAGAGGACTGTATTTTGAAGTGTGTTTTCCACCTTTTGGGGCACTATTTTTTACCTTTTTTTTTTTTTTTTTTATCTAGAAACAGATCTCTGCAGTTGTAGTAATCCCTGCAAAATAATCTCAGTTCAGAGGCAGAAAACCTGAGGAGGAAAGCTAAACATTAACTCAGCTGAAGGATTTTGTTCCTTTGATTATTAAAAAAAAAAGTCTTTACTATTATTAAATAATATCATTTAAAAAATTGTTTGTAGTTGCTATTTACTCAGCAATAGCTCTGCCCAGTTTATGCTTAAGCAAATGCCCAGGTTTTATCACTTTGTACTTGTGCATATCTTGGGGTTTGCAAACTTCTACTGGTTTTGCCTTTGTACAACACTGCCTTTTCTCTGGCAAGAGTCTTTTCCTTCCTCTTTCCATGGTAGCTTTAAGGCAAAATTAGACACTCACTCCCAAACCCACAATCATGTAACTAGAAAAACAATCTTTAAGATAAAATGATGAATTGAAAATGCTTTCTCAACAAAATCTACACCTCTGGGGTGGGACCAGGAGCAGACAACCAGCTAATGCAGTTGTTGTTCAAATGGGAAAGAACTCCTGGCACAAAGCAGCTCTTTTGAATGCATTTCGTGTTTTTATCTTTTTTTTTTTTTTTTTTTTTACTAGTTTGAACACGCCACGCAGCTGATGAAGAGCAGCCATTCACTTGCTACCCTGGAATTTTTCAGGTGCTACCAGCATCTGAAATGATCCAGAAATACAAGCAACAAAGCCACAACTTGCAGCCACAAAACTACCTTCAAATACAATTAAATGTTCTCTTAAATTAATCCCAGACAGGATCCCTGCCACGCCGGGGTAGGGACACCCTTCACAGACCCTGGGTGTCCCACATCAGGGCAGGGACAGAAACATGGAAGAGTGGAAGAAAATGGGCAATAATCACAAAGCAGCAGCCAGAGAGCTTTTCCCCCAGCCCTGACCTCCTGTGACATCATCACCTTCTTGAAGATACCGGGGTGGACTGAGTGTACCCTGCACAAAAATAAGACAAGTTGAGGCTAGGAAGGGGGAGAAAAGGTGTTTACTTAAGTGCTTGCTTCATTGTTTATGGTTTATTCTTTCTCAATCACCCAAATCCGTGATTAGGAGTTTGTGTTAACCGGCAAGAAATTAAATGAGGTGAAAATTCCCTGGGTCTTTTGCCCATGACAGAACTAAAGTTTTAAGATTTCCCCAGGAAAGCTGGGCATTGAGTCCGCTTCCACCGGACTGCATCCCTGAGAATAGCCCCAAATTTATTGTTTGAGGCCGAGGAAAATGGGGACTTCATTGTTCTCTCCAGTAATTCCTCTTGGCTGTTTAAGTAACTCCTTGCTCAATATATTAGCTCTGGCAAATCCTATTTTGAAACATGTATTTGCTCCCAGGTGTTTGAGATGGCAACTGAGGGGTGACAGCAGGCAGCCTAGAGCCACGGGGCTGGGGGCGCACACATCCCTGGGTGCAGAGATGGTTACAGAAACAAATCTTTCATTGTTCTTCATGCACTTGTTTGTGGACGAGATGGGAATATATGAACTGGGCATTTTGGAAGGAGAGACAAACTTCAGATCAACTCAATGTGTGTTTAAAAAATGCTCCTATTTTTCCTTTGGCAACAGCACAGAGAATGTTGTCAAACAGTATGAGAACTATTTCCCAAGCGTAGCCCGTCATGCTAACTGTGTTCTAAATTGCACCAGGAGGTGCAATGTTTCCTGTGCAGACTCTGTCTCAGGTGTATATGCAACAAGAAAGCAGTAACATCTTTTCTCAGGCTGTGCGCATATTCTGAATTCATTTTCAGAAACAGTTTTCCTTGTGAAGGTGGAATAGTTGGGGCACAGTGCTAACTGCAAAGCGTTACTTGTCACAGTAAAACCACTACTGATGGTCAGCACATGGTGCTTCAAGTCCAGACAGTAGAAAAACCACATCCTTACTGTTTTCATATATAGCACAGCGCTCAAATATTATAATAAGCAGGAGCGCTAGGGTAGTAGGAACCTTATGAACAATTCATAAATTATACAGATGCATATAATACATTTATATAATAAATTTGACTTTCAGTTGTTACTGAGCTGAATTTGACTGGGTGTGCTGTGGCTGTGTCTAAAGAGCTCACAGCAGAACAGGAAATCAGCTTGCCACCATTACATTTAGTTAGCCATTGGCAACCCATTTAACAAAACTGAAAATATCATACCTAGGAATAGAAAATATCTTCTCTTTATGGACATTAAAAATGTCTAGCATCAATTGCTGATGACTGAACATGCAAATAGTCTCTTTACATGCCTTCATGGAAAATGTTGAGTGTGAAAGAATAACTCATCGAACTTGTACTAAGGTTCCCCCCCCCTATATTTTGTATCAGATTTCCTGGAGGCAGTTTATTTACAGTAAACACTGAGATCATAATCCAGGATGAAAATAATAATCCCATTACACTGCTTATTAGACTTGCAGGCAGTAGGACAATCAAGGCACTGACTCTGAATCAAGACTTCAGCATTCTCTAACCTGTATAGCTGTAGCAGGTTATTTTATCTATGTATATATAAAAAATTATACTAGGTGCAATGTGAATACACAAATAAATGTAAAAAACCTTATAAAATACATCTAGTCTTTCAAAAGAAACAAATACAGTATTTCAAAAGTTCTTCTGTTTTACATGTAACATAGGGAAATTATCTGTCGTGCAACAGGTCACCTAGACTGTCAGTGAAAGTCTTTGACAATATAACCATGTGTAATGTTACTACAGGATAGCAGTAAGCCAGGTGGAACCTTGAAATTATATATTTATTATTTCATAAATGTTTTTATTCACAGGTATTTGTTCTTTGGGAATCCTGCTTTATTCAGAGTCCTTCCGAAGAGGACATTTCTTCCAGTTAATAGTTTTGTCACAACAAAAAGTACAGGGAGACATTTGGTACATGAGCATCGTAAAAGCCTTCTGTCCCTCTCCAGACGGGAACACCAAGCATTTGCATCACCAAGTTAAACTATCATGCTGAATTTAAACATCAAAGCCTAGGCTAGGACCCTTTTTTTCTTAATTGTTTATATGCTATACTCAAAAAAACCCCACACATACCTTGGCAGTTCTGTTGATTCCTGCGTTTTTATCCATTGTTGCCATTCACCAGCAGCGTCACTTTGAGCAATACAGATAATGACAGCAGGATGAAGAGACTTCAGCCTTGCACAGCCATGGTGTGTTAGGAACTATGGCTCAAGAAAGCACACCGACAGCTCTACCCCTAAAAGCATTTAGGAATTTGTAGAAAAGATTCTCATGAAAAATAATTTATGTGACAACAGGTGAGATTCAAAAGAACAGAATGAAAACCAGAAACGCCCTATTAGCGTCTGAAAGTGAGGAGAAAAAAGTCTGTCTGCAAGTGGAATTTTCCTTGATCTCTCTGTCACCAACTTGTCGCAATTAACCGCAGTCAGAAGTCTCACCCTTCTGTTTTGCTACATGTTCCTGTATTTCCTCTTTTAGAAATGCAATGAATACAAGAATACTACGTACCACAAGGGGCTGCACAGTGCTTGATAGAAATAAGACTGCCACAATCATATCAATTCAGGATTAAGAAGCCAACATTTTTCACGCCTTTCAAAGTTGTCTCAACTTTTAAGGCACCAATATCACTTTTTGTTAAAAAAGGCCTTTGTGAAAACCTGATGTATTACCATCCATACCTGGGGGTGAGTGCTGTGTGAAAGGTGACTCCTGGTTGCACCAAGGCTTAAACATGTACACAAGGGGATGTGTGGGCTGTCCTGCAACATCCTGCTCAGCAGAGTGGAGCAGTTGTACTCAGCATGTTTGAAGGGTCCCTCACAGCCATACGGAGAACTTCCTCACCTGAACTACATCTTAACCACTTTTCCTTTACTGTACTTCAGTTTTTCCTGGGATTCAGTCTCACAGGGCACCTCTGGTGGAAACACAGCTTCTGTGTACAGGAAATGAGAAATATTTATCCCAGACCAGTACCCCCTCTTAAGTAGAAAGCTTGAAATCTGTTTCAATGGGTGGCAAATAAGCCTAATGCTACAAGAGGCCTTTTAGGAAAGACTTTCCCTAGAGTCACGTGCCAGTTACTGACTGCCCAGTCAGTGTGCCAAGGAATGCGGAAGGCTGAAAGATACAAAACTGTAATTATGATTTGTCTCCAAAGTTGCTTTGCTTTCACATCACCATGGCTCGCTGGCCTAATGTGCTAGCTGTGGCATCACCTTGCCATGTTTCCGTGACAGCTTCTGCCGAGGCCAGGCAAGAGTAGGCTACATGCCAGATGGATACAATGGACTCGACAGGTGATGGACTTACATAAGGTGGTAAATCCTGAGTACGACTGTGGTTCTCTGAGCAGAGCAGCATGCTGGGATGTAGCTACTGAGAGGTACAGACTGCAAAACGTGAGAAGCGCAGGCAGCTGCACAGGAATTTTAACTGATCAAATACAGCTTCTAGGTGTGAAGCTTCTCTGCCTGTAGCAGTGAGCATGATCACATAGAAAATGTTTACTTAGGTACTTCGACTTGCACGGTGAAAAGATGTATTCCCCTTCAGTCAAACGCAGATCTAACAGGATGCTATGTGTGTGCACAACCCTGTTCTTCAAGATGCAGCTCTGGCTCCTCCAAGCACGCCTGCTCCCTCCAAATGCTCTGGAGCTGCCTTGCCTCCTCTCCTTGTCCCCCATCAACCACCAGAATACCACTGGGATGGTGTAGTACCAAACTCAAGTATTTCACTCCAGGGTTGTATTATCCACCTAAATAGGATGAGTTGTTTCTTCCAGCCGTTATTTCTTAAACAGAAACCTCCCCAAACTTCCAGCCTCAAGCAAGATGATATAGTGTGAAAACAAAGAAAGGTGCCGCTGTCAGGATGTCTTTGTGTTAAGAGAATAAAACTATTTCTACACTGCAAGTTAAAAGACCACAGAATTAAGGAAGCTTGAGGCAAAAGCTAGCATGCTGTGAACTTATCAACCACAGCAGTGGCTTAATACATAAACCACAGTATTTTAAAACTACAAGAGTCAAAACACCAGTAGCAAATGTGTTACTTATGGACAGCTTCTTTAACAGAATTGAAAAAAACTGGCATTAAAACAAATTGCCACTGCTATCAGTTTAGCAGGCTGGCTGTAATAGCAGAGCTCTGCTGTCGCTGAGCAAGTACAGCATGCATTAATAACTGTGTGTCAGGACTTCCCTTTTCCCTCCCACTAAGCTCTGGTTCTCCTCGTCCCTCCAACCAAAAAAGCCATGAAAACTGCTATCTCATGCCTCCTATTTTTCTAAAATTTTAGAAACTTGAAGGGAGGCAGAGGAAAAGCAAAGAGGATTGCTAAGCCTAAGAAATATTTTGCATAGCAGTAGCTTCTAAGAAAAAATTAAATTCTCCAACTTAAAAAAATAAAATCCCCCATTCTATACTGTAAATCTATAACTGTATCTGATTCAGATATAACACAAATGAATTAATCAAGCTTTAACATTTCCCCAGAGACAGAGCCTTCCACTATTCAGTTAATTTCTCCTTTTGCTGCACAGAAAAGAAAACTAATGCATTTCCTTCTTTATATATTAAATAACTTTTTAAAAGGTAATCTTTATTTAAATACAGACAAATCCGGCACCTTCATGAACCCTTGACAAGACATTTAATCAGTGGTAGGGAAAGTTAATCCGGCAGTGAGAACAATCTTACATTTAAAAATCCTCATGAAATCAAGTGCTGAATTGTTGACTACAGGAATCCTCCCAAATGTGAAGCCGAAGAGCAACTATCAAACTTACAGAAGGTTTAAACTGTTTCTTAATGATGTGTACTTCTGTTGAATAGGATGAGGTCTGGGAAACCTGGACTGTTAGAGATAACAGGGAGGAGAAAGGGTGAGTCTGGATTTTTGAATAATTAAGAAAAGAACGTAATTCAAGTTCTGTGTAACAGACATAGAATGAAAATTCCTTAATAAAATGAAGCAAAGTGACATTTCCGAGGTACATATGTGGAAATTAATATGCACAACAGTTTCTTTCTTTGAGAGGATACTAAAGGTCTCCATGGCAGAATTCTTCTCATTTTCACATGCTGCAGGACTGTCACATTTTACAGTTGCAATGATATTCCTTGAAAATACTATGAATTCACTTTGAGGTCCCACAAGATAAATTCAAAAGAAGACAAGATTTCAAGTCTGAGCTTTAATACCAGAACTAGAACACCGTATTTCTTGCATTCATCTAAACAGTTTAAAATTCTGTTTCAAATTCTTATGGCACAAGACTGGCTCAGAATTGAAGGTCCACTTGGCCAATTAAAAAAAAAAAAATTCCACCAAAAACCCCCCAGACTAAAAGATACAAAACAGAGCTTTACAAAGAATAAATCAGAACTGAAGGCAGCTTAAGGCTTCATTAAAATATTTGCCAAGTTCTGCTGTTACTTGTGTAATCCATTCTTTAAACAGACTTCAGTGGGATTGCACAGATACAATGCAGAGCAAAACTGGCTCATACTGCCCAGTTTGAGCAAGATACAGTCACATTATCTTTCGCAGGATTTAGAAAGACAGGAGAACAAGTTTAATCCTTCCTGCAAGGATCATTTTATTCTCCCCCCACACACTCCTTGAGTACAATTAGAGATGACTTACAAAAATTAATGCCACACACACTAATAAAAAAATTAGCATGGGGCAAAACTTAAAGTCTCAGTATTTTGATATTTATCTGCCATGTTTGACAGAATTAAAAACCAGACACATCACGGCTTTCATCTAGGCATCTGTTGGCAGTACAATCAATACAAGATGATATAATGAATCTGGATAATCGCTGTTTTATAGAGCTGTCCTTAGTCTGTCGTTGACCTTCTGTACCAAAATCTAGCCCTGTAGTCATCACTGCAGGTCATGAAGCCAGGATTGGTAGGAGAATGGACAATACAACGGACAATGCTGTTGTGCCCAAGAGAAAGAAGGTTTCTCCGTTCAGCAGTTCTTGAATCCCAGCAGCACAGACTGATGGTCCTTTCATCTGGAAGCAGCACATAATCTTCTGTGTGGTTGAAGACAGCTTGTGTCCTGTGTACTTGTCGTCCACTCAAACCAGCTCCTAAATATAGGCAGCAAAATATTAACCCAAATAGGATCAGTTTTAGGAAGTTTCCAAAGACCTAAGAATAAACCTCCCATAAGTTTCTGCAGTCTACAAAGGAGCTGTATTTCCTCAGTCTACCACTTCCTCATAGGACAGGTGAATAATCTTTTGTAGTTATATACATGAGATATTCTAAAATTTCTTAGAGGACAGAAAGATTAACTACTTCAACAGTGTCAATCAAGTCCAACCACTCAGTATGAGTCCAATCACTCAAATTTAAGAGCACTTTTGCCTTTTACTTTTTGTATGAGGCTTACAGCTATAACTAAGGGGAAGGACCACAGATAGTAGAACACACAGATTCTCATTATCAATGACAGTTTGTTTTTAATGTACCTATCACGTGGAACATTATATGACCCACCTTAGCCATACCTTCCCTCCATACCCTTCAAATAAGATGTGTTTCATACATGGACATTTACTTTGCAATGCACACCTGCACATTACCTGATACTTTGCAGAAGTTTATCAGGGAGGTGCTGCGCCCTGCTGGTTGAGAGCAAAATAAAGCTAGCATACAAAAAAGGAACTTGCACATCCCCAGAGCTGATACAGAAAGTTTTCAACATCCTCTTCTCTTTCATACTATGACTCCTAATGCTTCCATCACATTACTGCTTGACCCAAAAGCTTCCCCTGTCACATGGCTGCTATCAAATGCAAAGCTTCTACATCCTTCACCATTTCTTAAGCCCCACTGAGATCAAAGCATGGTATTGTCTGCAAGCTCCAAACAGGACTACCTTGCACATAATTGCATCCTTGGGGAAATAAAAAAAATAAAATAAAAAAAAAAAAAAAAAAAAGGAAAAAACCCAAACCAGCTGTAGCTATTTTTCAGACTACTGCTATATGCCAGTAGAAATCTCTTTTGCACAAGAGTCTAATCATTAAAACAACTGTCCCAAGGTAGGTTCAGTTCCCCGTCTGGGCAGGTACTCTGCAGCAACGCAGCTGACTCTAGCAAGAAACAGATTAGTTGTTAGCTTTGACACTTTCAGTTTAAACTGTGCCCCTCATCTAGCAATAAAAGTCACAAAATCAAAATGATCACTAGCAAGAAAAGCAACAAAGCTGTTTTAGTAACCTCTGTTTCTAAACACTAAACTAGAGCCTCTGCACAATGTCCTCGGGGCATTGTTCCTTTTTACTTTTGCCTAATTCAGTGATAATTTCCCTCCAAAGCAATGGAGTAATGATGTCAGTAAAGTCTCCAAAAATCTACTCGGACTGAATATGTTTACACTGACTGACATATAAGAATCACAGCTCTTCTTCTGGAATTAGTCTACATTAAGTGTCTTCAATAATTTGGGGCAATTTACCCTCAAAGCAGCAGCCTCCCATTGCCTTTAAGAATTACTATTATTTTGAAAATATTACCACCCCTGCCATGGTTCAGTACCTGCAAAAGATACTGAAAGGTACTTGGAAGGTCACCTGCCACATACCTGTGTATTTGACCAGTGTTCGACCAGTGGAGATCTCCCATAGTTTAGCTACAGAGTCTTTTCCGCTTGACAAGATATACTTTGAATTTTTGGAAAAAATAGCAGAACAGACTTCAGCTCCATCATGTGCCTTCTCAAAAGTAGTGATACAGCGATTTGAAACACCATCCCACAGTTTGATGCATCCATCCTTACTTCCTGTCACATACATGTTTGCACTTGCGTTGTAATTTACTGAACATATAGCATCAGTGTGCTGATCTTGAGGATTGCAAGACACAAAACACTGGAAAGTATTGATATCATACAGTCGTAAAGTAGGGTGCTGGGTACCAACAAGTATGAAATCTCCAGAGGGGTGAAAGGAAATTGAGCGCAACATCTCTGCTTCCTGTTTGATCAAAAATACATAATTGGTGTAAGAAAGAAAAAAAAAAACACTAACCAACCCAAAATGGAAGTGTAAATTCTGGTGGCATTAAAGTATGAAAAACCTACTTATATCAGTTAGCACAATGTTCTGCTTTTGCAAATTAGAAAATGCTTCCTACAGGATTAAAATGACAGGCTACCTTTAAACGTACTGTAGTTTTTGTCCTAAAGCAGCCTGCAGTGCCCACTCATTTTCAGGGTACCACACAGAAATGACAGGAGGCTTTGTCAGCCAGTCACAGGCCCCAAAGCCCACCACCACCTAAGTCCAAACTCTCCTCAAAAACAAAGATAATATAATTGACTTCAGTTACCCATATTAGATTTGGTCTAGATTAACAAAAAGCAGACAGGCACCAGATTTAAAGAATACAGGTATCCATTATGCACAAACTCTTAACATGTAGTTACCTTAATGTCTGCAAATTTTGTAGCTGCATACTCCTACATACCTAACCACGACTTATCACAACTCAGCTCACTGATACCTCAGTACTCATACATTAAAGCTTTGGTTGCTCTGAACTGGTATTATATCTAACCTGTATATATTTGAAGGCTCTTTTGGCAGAAGGTTTTGAATAATCAAACAATTTAAGTGTGTAGTCCCTTGAACCAGATGCTAGGATCTGTTCTGTTGGATGAAAAGCTAAACATGTAACTTCATCCACGTGATCATAGAGAGTCCGAATAACAGGGTGATTTTCCATGTTTTGCTGTGCAGTCTCATTCATCATGACCTACAAAGAACATTCAACAAGTTAGTGTTAGAAACCAGAATGTACTTTTGACTGGAAAAGTAGGTTTTATGCTTGCCAGAGTGGCCAAACAACAACTATGTTTCTGACACGACTAGGCACATAATTAAGATAATAGTGATTATTTGAAGGCCCACTATATATTGTTGTAAGTTCCCTGTATCTTTACAAAGGTCAGCTGACTTGCTCAAGGACAAACAAGTTTTAGTAGCAGAGAACTGGTGCAAGGAAACATATCATCCTCAGAAACAGTCCAAACCCAAATACTGTACTGCTGTAAGGCTTAAAGGCAGTTGTACCAACTGCAACTTCTACTCATGCAGGGGATACTGCTGAGAATTTGGTGCGCACTCTGTGCAAAAAAAAAAAAAAAAAAAAAAAAAAAAAAAAAAAAAAAAAAAAATCATCCCCCTTCTAAATTGCTACTGATAACTGCAGAAAAAAATGAAGCAAATAAATGTGGATTCTATGAAACAGTTCTGAAACACACAGCCACTGGAGGCTGTAGAAGCCAGAAGTGCGAGTTCAAAAATGAACTGTGTTCATACAATATAGCAATTATCACCTAACTTGAAGCAATTTCTGGCTCAATTCTCTAGACTGCTGCCAGAAGTTACACAGGTATACTTGCCCTATTTCTTCTTCCTTTTCTTCACGAGTACTTTATGAGTCGCTGTTGGAGTAGGAAATACTGCGAGACAGATAGTTATCCAACCCACTGAGCCAGCCACAAGGCACAGACATGGCACGAAACTGACAGCACCTCAAGAATTCACAAAGTGGTTATGATTCAAGTCATATTTTACCTCAATAGGCATAGCACTTTTGGCCAACATTCTCTCTGTATCAAGAATTTTTATTGAGGCATCAGCAGATCCTGTAGCTATTAACTGTCCATCTCTGCTATATGTAGCTACACGACACGGTCCTTTATGAGATGTGACATAACAAGTCTCATATTCAGAAGCCTCAGGAGACATGGTCTGTACATCTGCATCAAATTCCAAGTCAATTCCTGTGCCTGGAGCTACCGTATCTGACCGTCCAATTGCATATTGAACAGCACTGTCATCATTCTCCATTCCTGAAAAGAGAGAAGTTGATGCACTTAAACCAGGTTAACCTTCTCCTTAGACAGGTAGACTGTGGCCAGATCTATGCTACAGGCTCTGGACCAGCTATGAGTCAGGTTTTAAGAGAGGCAGCCCCTGTTGAATAAAGCTAAGCTAGCAGATCAGATTTAGTTATACAGCAGTAATTCTGGTGAGAATGAGAGGTACTTTGGCTGCACTAGAGCAGAGCTGTGGAAATACAACCAGCAAATATTGCAGAATGTTAAGCACTGATAAATGCACTGACAATCAGTTACTGAAGCCATCGACAGGCCTCTAGTCAGCTTTTCACAGAGGGAGAAACAAGACCCAACCCTATGACATGAGATTTAACTGAAGTGTTTACCGATTCTTTCCCTTTCTGTTTTATTGTGCTGAAGAAAAAAAACCCTACTTCACAACCAACTATCCCAGCACTGCAAATTAAATTTTTTACTCCTCTTCACACCCACTCTGCAGATTTTGATTTTTATATATATATATTTTTTTTTATTTCCAGGATTCATCTACAGAACAAAGACAGTTCGGCACTGGAAGCAGTAACAGGTCAGACACAAGAATTTTTCAGCTATGTGCCCAATGGTGATCATCAACCGATCAAACACAATCAAGAAGTTTTTGTTGTTTTCATTCACAAATTACAAGTCTAGCATTCTTATTTCAGACAGACACAAGGCTTCACATATTTATACCCTTGGAACTCAACTAGTTCAGGCAGCAGAACCAGTTCAATTACAATATAGAGAAGACACGATGTTACAGCTAGACCTCTTCCAGTAACTTAGTCAGCTTGTTTCAACAGCAGCTCAGGTATTCTGACTACATCCTGTAGCACAGATTTACTTTCAGAAAAAAGAGAGAGAGAATATGCAATACCTTTGCTGAGACCCTACACTGTAAAGCTTATTTTCTTTACACTGATATATAAAGGCTAGCAAAGATTGCCAGTGGAAGGGCTTGGATTGCTCCTTTTCCAATACTGTCAAAAACCAGAAAATATTTCCAAAGTTGACAGAAAACTGTGTGGGTCAATTTCCTATTACGTCTGTGGACTCAGTGATCTCATTTACTGTACCATATTTTTAGAAGGTTGCCAGTCACCCAGAACCCTGAGCAGGTATTCTTATGTGCTACTGAAATTCAAACAGATTTTGACAACACTCAGTGATCTGTTTTGCTTTTAATACATACTAAAGGATGAAACACAGAGCTAGAATGCCCTTCAAGAAAATATATAAAGTTACGCTATTACTAGACATAACCTTTGCATAAAGGATGTCTTTTCAGTAATGCTAACCTCTTAATTCACAAGGGTTTAAGCCAGGGATTTAGAAACTGGATTTTTATGGTAGCTTTTTATTCCATCTTACCTAATTTAATTAGGTGCAGCAGTTGTTCGGATGGTGCACAGACTGATTGTGGTTTTATCTCATTTATCAAGCCATTAGCAATATTTATATATCCATCATATAGCAGCTGACTAATTATCAGTTTATAAAGTTGCTGACGGTCTTTCAAACTGACTTTTGTTCTATACATTGTGAGCAAGGAATGCCTTGGAGGGGCCGGGGGGAGGCTGGCGGTTGCGGGGTAGGGCGGTGAGCCGCGGCGGGGTGGCAGGCCAGGCCGTTCCGTGCCCTGCCTCGGGGCCTTCCGGGGTGGGCGGCGGGGGGCGTCTTAGAGATCCAGGACGTAGTGTTTTCTGTGGAACTGACCCCTGTTTGCTACGTATCGTCTGTAGATTACGCTATATGTAGTTGTTCTCTTCGGACACTATGGATAAGAACATGAAAGAGAACCATTCCGGATATCCCAGTCGTGCTACAAAGGTAAATGACTCACTAGGCTAGTGGGTGCATTTCTCCTGATCACACAAGAGCTACAGCTTTTAAACTGTCTGTGGTAACTATTAACTGTACTAAAGAGCAAAAGGTGGAAAAACTGTCTTGGAAGAATGTTTTCCACGTGCAGGAAATAACTGCTAACTTGGTCTTTCAGGAGCTTTCTCTTAGAGAGAACAGTGCTTGGGCCTAGCTATTTTTTTTGTTGTTGTTGTTAGTATTAGTATGTCATACCTGAATTGGGAAATCCTCATATTTTAAGTACAATATAAGATCCTTTAAAAAGAGAATAAATGTGTGTAGTCAACTTATTCCAGATATGGCTTCCAAAAGCAAGTAGTGTGTTAATGTCACTATTGAAATGCTTGTGCAGTGGTACTCAAGATCACCCTGTTTACATATTTTTTCTATATAGAAACATAAGCACTTTCTCACTATTTTCACTTAAAACCAAATAAGTCCTGGTAAGGTTTCAGAATAGCATAAGCAAAGGTTTTTTAATCAAGCTGTCAATACATTATTTTTAGTGAACTGAACCAGGTGACTAAATAATACATAGGGGAAGGAAGGAAATACAGATTGTTGCATAGGTATCATCAGAGGGTCAAAAATTTGAGAAATTAATCTTTAGTGTTTGAATTTAACTGTAGTGAAGTAGCCTAGAACAACAAAGAATTTCTTAAATATAAGCCTAAACTACCTTTCTTTACTGGAAGCAAAAGATTAAAAGCAGGTAACTGAACCTTTCTAAATAACTTTGCTTTGTTCTGCTGAACTCCACTTGCAGTGCAAGGTATATTAAGATGAGCAGCATTAAAGGAAGCAATGACTCAAAGCTGCGTATGTTTTTAGAATAAGGATCTGCTGTCCTAGTACCTTTGTTCTTCAGATGTGTTGTTCTGATAGCTATACATAAATATGCTGCTGAAGAAAACTGGTAACTTTTTGTCAGTGTAGAAACTTACAAATGTTTCATGAATAAAAATATAAGATGAGACTACCCTAACATCTTGTGTTGATGTGCTTCGTGTTTTTTCCTGCTCTACTGAATGGGGCCAGAAAGGTTATAGTATGCTATTCTACAAGTAATATGTAATACTTTCTTTTTAAAGGTTGCTAATCCCATTGGGGATGGCCCAAAACGTGTCCCTGTGTCTCAGCATTCTGCCCAGAGCCGGTTACTGAACAGTGGAGTTCAAGCACAACGTGTTCTGTGTTCTTCAAACTCTGCCCAGAGAGTTCCTGTGCAATCACAAAAACCTGTACTGTCAAACCAAAAACTGTCTAATAACCAGACAACGCAGCAGCCCCGGCCAAAATTTTTGGTCCAAGCGACCACTAGGCCTCAAGTTCCAAGCAAGAACAATGAAAAACCTCAACAGGCTCCAGTACCTGGTAATTCTGAAGATGATGTACATGTATTTACATACTTGTGATGCTTCTGTTCTGTGGAGCAGAGTGCAGTGCATAAAACCTAAACCTGATGTTGGTGGTGTGGGACAGTCCTGTGGGGAAGTACTTGGTTGGGCCCTGAAAGAGAATAGCAGCACATGCTTCAGCTTTGATGTTACTGCATGACCCTTATTGTCAGGATTACCCATTTAGACCCATACAGGTGTTTAAAAATTTCCACATGCTCACTAGTCAGCTGTGAGTTAATGTAGTGGGAGTCATACATCAGTTTTTCCAGTATTCATGTTAATCTCATACACAAGAATACATTATTTTTTTGGAGGAAGCTTAATAGTTGTTTTGACTTTCAGGAGCTTTTAAAATTGTTTTGATAGCTGCTTTGCCAATAATAAGTTATGCTAGGTTGTTTAAAATGTTGTTGAATGTATTCTGAGAACTGTTTCAGACACTGCACAGAGGTTAGATTTGCTTCTGTGTGACTTTTTGCATTGTGTTCATGGGTCTGGTTCTTAAAGTTGATCTACTTCTCTATACATAGCAAAAAATTCTGAAGCAGAAAGCACCTCTAAACAGAAAAATGAAGAGACTGCTAAAAAGAAAAATGAAGAGACTAAAAAGTAAGTTTTATGCCTAAATTGTTCTAGCTGATTCTGTTGGATTGGGCTTGGTTTTAACTGTTAGGACTTCATGCTGTGACTAAGTTGCAGATAAGCTGAAGGCTACTTCAGTCCCTTGGTTTTGGAGACCAGTGGCCCTATACTTTAGAGACAACATATGAAACTAGGAAAGCTTACTTTGACCTGATAATCATGAGGAACAAGGACTTCCTGTAATCTAAAGAAAATTTTTGGCTGAATGAGTAATAGCTCTTCCCATGAGAGAACAGTGATAGTCACTGCTCAAATAGCAAGATGAACGCTTGAAAACAAAGCCTCCCTCACGTGCAAGAGACTGGAGTTTAAGGATGAAGTTAGATTTATAGTGTAGCTACCTTAAACTGTTCTGACGCACACTAGTAAAATATGTCTGTGTTAAGTGCATTGAAATGAGCCTGGCATACATAGTCTTGATTTTGTAGTAGTGTGGTTGATATCAGTGTGTCTGCATACGTTTTTACGAAGGAAGAACATAGCTTTCAGAACTTTCTTTTGAAAAGCCTCAATACCTATTTTATCCTCTTGGTGTTCTCTTGAAGACTAAAAATTAGTTCAGATCACTAAGTACCTATTGAACAGGAAATTATAGATTGTAAACCTAGGAGTCAAAGCCCATACAAGTATCTAGCTTTTGTAACTTCCTCTTGCAGAAGGCAATGGTCTCTCGATGATTTTGAAATTGGTCGTCCTCTGGGGAAAGGAAAATTTGGAAATGTCTACCTGGCACGTGAAAAGCAGAGTAAATTTATTCTTGCACTGAAAGTGCTCTTTAAAACACAACTTGAGGAAGCTGGTGTGGAACATCAACTACGAAGAGAAGTTGAAATACAGTCTCACCTTAGGTAAAGTTTAATGACCAGTTACACTCTTTGCTTGTGTTCAAATAAACAGAGTGACCTTGTTTATGATAACATACCCTGTTGAAGAGGAGTTTCTTTTTAAACACAAAACCTTGAAATTGCAAGTTAGGATTCTTGCCTTTCTACACCAAGATTTACCTTTTTCTACCTTGCAATGAAGTAACATCTGTAACAAATATTCCTATTACTGAAAAAAACCTTGTCTGCTTGGATTTATGTGGGTAACTGCAATTTCTCAAGTCTGAGCTTGTTTCTGGTATTATGCTTCTTTGAAAATAAGCCTAAATTGCTGAAGAAACTGGTTTTCACAGAGCATTTCAAGTGTTTAACTTAAATTTCAAGACTCGTAGGAATTGGCACCTTTGGTAATTACTCTTCCAGCTGCTGTAGAAAAGTATATTCAAGAAGATAGGAACTGGCCAAAGTCTTGACTAGTTGCTGCTTTGATAAACATCTGTCTGCTATGAAGTGCTCTTAATGGAAATGTGAGAGCTGAAGGAATGCTTACAAGATGTTGAAGTTCCTATGCTTGCCTTGAAAGGGGGGAGGCAGTAACAGGGAATTACGAGTTTCATGGACAATTACCTTATTCAGAAGAATATTTAAATCCTTTTGCAGGCACCCCAACATTCTCAGATTATATGGCTACTTCCACGATGTTACAAGAGTCTACCTTATTCTAGAGTATGCACCTCGTGGAGAAGTCTACAAAGAACTTCAGAAGCTCACCAAGTTTGATGAGCAAAGAACTGCTACTGTAGGTTGTTCTACCTCCTTATACATTACTTGCTCTTTATATCTGGAACATGAGCAGCATAAAGCTAGCTCTTCAGATAAAAGTTCTGTATTCTGTTGTGTGAAACAAGATTCCTTAGATGCTGCTATGTTCAGCATTGCTTAATATGGCAAGTGCTTGGTCACTTCAGACAGAGCCTGGATTGACAGACTTCAATGGATTGAGGAATAATTGCTCTAACTACTAATTATGCCTAGAAAAGCCTATACTGTAGCCAGATATGATGAAGCAACAATGTCTTTATAAAGATTTGTTTTCTTTCTAAATACAGTACATCACCGAACTAGCAGATGCCCTATCATACTGTCATTCAAAGAGTGTGATTCACAGAGACATCAAGCCAGAAAACTTGCTGCTTGGCTCAAATGGAGAATTAAAAATTGCTGACTTTGGATGGTCTGTGCATGCTCCATCTTCTAGGTGAGAATGCAAGATGTATCTTATGCAGTGAAATACTTATGTAGTGAAAATGTTGGCTTCCTTGCCACAGTTATAGTTATGGAGGTAAATACGAACTTCCTAAAATACTGGAAAAAATCCTTTAAGAACTGGGCCACTGCAGCAAGGGTCTATAATAGTCAGCTGGTGTTGCAGAGAGGGGGTGTTATCCTATTTTTCCCAACTTGTATAGTTCAAAACTTGTTGAACCTGAAACAAGTGAAGAAGGTCAGTGCACTGTTTTAGGGTTATAGTGGTCCTTGAGATGGCAGACTAGCACTTGTGTTCAGACATCACACTAACAATATACTTAAGATGCTTCCTCAATTAGTCTTTTGTCAGGTATGATTGAGACTATATTTGATCTAGCAAGTGGGATGAAAAAAGGAAGGAGAAGACTGAATGCAGTCACTGAGATGCTTTAAAGCACAAATAGATTTACTGTTGGCACTTCTTTACCAGGTATGCTGGTGGTGCTGACTCTGTCCAGGGTAGACTCCACCAAGGTACAGATGATTGCCACCATTAGCTGCTGTCTGGCTCTTGAAATGGATCTTGTAATTGTCGTAATCAGTAAATTATTAACTTGGTCTTTTCTTCAGGAGAACAACTCTCTGTGGGACACTTGACTATCTGCCTCCTGAAATGATTGAGGGAAGAACACATGATGAAAAAGTGGATATTTGGAGCCTGGGAGTTCTGTGCTATGAATTCCTTGTAGGGAAACCACCTTTTGAAGCAGCAACATACCAGGAAACCTACAGAGCTATTTCCAGGGTATGTGCCAACACTTATTTGGACTAGCTGAATTGTGCTGCCTTTCAGTTTTCTTGTGTTACTGAAGTTTCACAAATGGTCACTTTTGAAGAAGGCATGTATTAGAACTAGAACTGTGGCAAGACATAATGATATGTATAAAACTAGATCCCTAAAACTGTCTTCAGTCATTCAGTAGCATGACTATGAGACCTCAGGATACCTTGCCTTACTTCCTTGGGTCTACCCTGTTTCTGCCTGCATCTGAACTTCTACCTCTTTCATAAAGCAACTAATCTCCACATCTTTCCTTTTCTCATCTATAAAATGTTAAATATTCAAGGTGTTACTAAAAACATATAAGCTTGACTTTTCCTGTTGCCTATCTTAGGTTCCAGCAAACTAATCTTGTTTGAAGTACATTGAAAAATACACTAGCTTAATTTCTAACAGCAGTGTGAACCTTGTTCAGGACTGTGATGAAATGCCTTAATCTCATAGGCATAAATTGCATAGCCCACAGGGCTGACCCAGCTTTCCTGTCTAGATCTACCTTGGAGGGTGGAGCCCTTTTTGTCTTTCTAGTTCAGTTATTGCCAAAGAACTTTTGCATCATTAGTGCTTTTCTTTTTCCTTAGGTGGAATTCAGGTTTCCTCCATTTGTAACAGAAGGTGCGAAGGATTTAATTTCAAAGCTTCTGAAGCATAACCCATTCCATCGGCTGCCCCTGAAGGATGTCCTCCTTCATCCCTGGATTACAGCAAACTCTACAAAGATGCCCAACAGCAGAAAGAGTGATGTTGCTGCCCCATCCAGAACATAGTCTTAGCAGGGTTAACCTCGGGGGATCAACAGGAGGAGTCTTGTACTGTGACTACTGTAATGCTTACAATAGAAAAGGCAGTTCTTGGAATCTAATGGCAATTAGAATGCACATCTTTGGGTTGGCTGTCTTAAACTCTAATTGCAATGTAAAATTATTGGCCTCTTTAGCTGGAAGTTGTGGAATGCTTCATATACTTGAAATCCAGTTACACATGGGCCAGGTTTGACCTAAGTATTAAGCTGTCCAAGGCTCTTATGTGGTCTGTCCAGGTAATGGCTTGTTCCAACAAGAGGAAGCATATTAAGCAGTGCAATATCCTGGAGATACCCGCCTCTGAACTGACTAGGCTGCTAAGGGTATCATAACTGTGGTGTAATCAAACTGAGTGAGGTGAATTTCTGTGTCCTAAAAATGATGTGTGCATTTTTGTCTCAATTTTGTCTTAAATGTGAGCATCTACTTTTCAAATAAAAATTTGTTATATACTGCTACCAGCATGGTGATGTTCCTTATGGCATTATCACTTTCCCAGGCTGTCTCTAACTGCTTGTCTCTACCATTGCTACAGCTTGACTCCTTGTCTATGATCACAAAAAAATTTACTTCCTACATGTCTTGAAGGAAGCTGGTATAAATTCTTGCTCAAAATGCTGGTACCACAACATAGGTGTGGTCACTTACTATTCTACAACTGCAGCACAGGCTTACAAGGTAAGTACCACCTCTCTTGCCACCTACCTTACGGGTTTTCCGCAACCACTGAAACCTGCTGCTTCTTTTTTTAATGCAGTTATTCGAAGACAACATGGTTTGAAAGGACTTCTAAGAAAGGTTTTGAAAATATTATCAAATGGGATGTGTAACAGACTAATCCTACAAGTATGTTATTCCCTAAAATGTAGCAACAAAACACAAGCCAACTGTTCTCCAATAAAACACTTCAAACAAGCTCCAAGAAAGCAATTTATTGTATTTTCATTATAAGACTTTAAGACTGTCTTTACTTTTCAAACCCTTTAAAAAATTGATCACTTTACAAACTGAGGATTCTAGAATTCAAAATATATTCTCAAATAAATTTAAAATATACTTTGCAAAAAAACCTTCATTGAAGCAAGTTGCCAGTAGTTCACACAACTATTTACCTTAATAGGTTATCTGAATTCTGAGCATAGTTTAAATGAATCTTTCTTTACAGCAAGAAAATCTCCAGGTTAGTGCGGTGAATTTTAATAGCTGTTAGGTGCATTTGCTTTAAATGATTCCTGCTTTACAGAATTTTTGAAAATGCTTGAATATTCCATTTCTGTCAACTTTAAGATAATCAGTTATTTCACAATGTTTTAAATGAAAACAAAGATGCCTTGTGACTATTCTGGAATACTTTTATCTGTGGTAACAGAACATTGCCCTGAACTGATGATACAAAGAGAGAGGGTACATAGGGCTGAGTTGAACTTCATAGGTTGCTCATAACAAAACTACTTGTTCTCTCACATCCTAACCCCATGATTCCTTCCTCTTAATTCACTAAATTTATCAAAACAACTAATGATCACCAGGGTAATCTCCAATTTAATTTAAACTCCTGGATGAACAGATCTGTGTCAGAGCCACCTTGGGGTAAGGCAGTGTAAAGAGAGCAGGCTGGAAGGAGAAACAGGGCCAAAAGACTGACAGATCTGGCTGGAGCTATCCCACAGAAGGAAGTACAGTCCTAAAACCCAGGTTTACCACAGAACGTTACACTGACTCCCCAGTTTTGGGATCCAGGCTTTAAGTTAACTGAAAAGCAGTATGTGAATATATGCATGTGCATCTACATTCTAATAGGAACAGTGTCCAAATAAAGAAATGAGAAGCACCTCTAATTGCTATCTTCAGCAGTCTGCCAGACAAAGCACAGCAATTGCCCTTGAGAAGCTATGAATTGTGGTGTCTGGACTTCAGGTGCAGATTTGATTTTCATCCACAGGAGCAGAAAACTGCTAGGGTTAGTTTTCAGATGAAAAAAGTTTCCAGTACAAGGCCAGATTTCAATACATTAAAAATGCAGATACCTTGCCTCTGACTTTATGATCTTTGGAATATGTTCACATAGGAGGTAATTCTGGTTACACTGATTTCAGTAGACTCAGGATTCCTTCTAAGTCTATAGGTATAAAAAAAAACATTAAAAAAAAAGGACTTTAAGGCCAGTTCCTAATCTATAAATAAAGCATTTTCAAACAAAATCTTGAAACATGGAAGCACCACAAAGGAGCTGTAGTTTCAGAACAGTGCATCACCTATTCTGGCTAAAACAATTATTACTGTGCAATAATTAAGCATGGGGTACTCCCACTTAAGTTAGTTCAGCATGTGTGTTGTACTGGAAGACTGGGGTCATAATATATGCCTTCTATAACAAAAACCCCACCCACCTACCCCTTAGATTCCAATATATACACTTACCAAAAGAACTATTCACATAATAGGATATTGTTTATTCCACAGACTATTAGGAAGAGAATCTCACTCTGTTTCTCAGCTACACAGTAAAAAACTAATGCTGCCACTATTTTGACAAGAAAAAAATTCAAGCCCCAAAAGATAGATTATAAAGACCCAGAACTGTGTGTTCTAAAGAGTGTTTATATTCCCACTTGCAGTGGAAACCACATGCCATTTAAACAGGTCTTTCTAAAGAGGTGATAAAAGGGAAAGAAGATAAGGACAGCACTTTTCACAGTGTAACAATTACCTGAAAGAGCAAGAAATACAAGAGGAGGTCAGCATTAACATGAATCCAAATAAATCTTTTAAATAAATGTATCAATCTGAAAATCTACATGGATATAGAACATTTAAGAAACAGTAAAAAACAGTAAGGAATCATGGATTTGAGGCAGGAGGTTTGAAGAAACCAATCTTCCGGCAGTATCTGACAATAAATGGCACAGATACTATAGTAATGCTGATTCGTACTGGAGCAAACAATTTGTGAACAGCATATGCCAGCACAAATGTGCTTGTACCAGCAGCCATTTTAGATTGCAACGATGATTCACTGAAACCAAGTTTGAAGAGAACTGCAGTCATATCGACACCACTGGGGAAAAAAGAAAACAAAGATTTATCTAGTTTATTTTAAGGTTGCACATTAAAAACATATAAAGTGCTTTTTTTTTTTTTTTTTTCCCCTCAGGAATTTAACATGGCACACTTCCAACTCTGGAATTTATGTTCAAATTGGATGTCGTTAAATAACAAGAACAATTATTTATTTCTGCAGTAACAGCTTAAGTTACTTCTATAGCAACAACACATGCAGTATTTTCAGATGTGCATTTTTTCTTAAATTGGTAAGTTCCCTGTGAAGTTAAATATGTTCTTAAATTTTACAACTGCACAGCTGCAGCGTGTGCATGGAGAATACTGAGCCCCATGCTCAACCTTCAGAGATTAAATAATCTATATCTCTACTTTTGAATTTTTAAAAAGTTAGAATTTTGGTAACTATGTTGGAAACTCATCTTCACAAAATCTGCGATACAGCATATTCTGTGTTCTGATAAAATTTATCATATAAATATAGACCAACCCAAACCAAATAACTAAACCTATTGTTAGGCTTAGGGTTCTAACAGGAGTACAAAGCTGTTAAAACGACAAGTATCTAAAATCTAGCAAGCGAAGGAAGTATTATGGATCTCAAACAAGCTTTATCTACTAAAACCATTTTAGCTCTCTACAGACATAGCAGCTTTCATCAAAGTTCCTATGCAGTACTTTTCCAAAAGAAGTTGTTACTGTAACTTTTCCCCCTTCACTTGCCAGTACAGTATCTGGTAACTGGGAGTTAAATCATACCCAAAGGAAAAAGTTTTCACTGTCACTCTGTGCCACAACATAGTAAACAAGAGAAATCAGGCATTCACATATTCCCACTGAAGTCAAGACTAAGTGGCAGGGAATGTTTTGAGAAACAGTATGTTTCCCTATCACCTCAGCTGAAACACCTCATGCTCAACAGAAATACTTAGAACTGATGCATTTCCACCAGAAGCCAGATACAGAATTTCCCGCCCACCTCCTATATGGTTATCTAGAGTTTTATTTTTCAGTCTAATCCAGTGGCTGTTGCCTTCTGCACTTCCACTGCAGAAACTGAGTTCAACAGCCATAAAAATAAGTTTATCTCTAGGCTCCAGTACTTCTGTATGGCTCTATCTCTACAGACCATACTACTGTTTGAGAACAAAAGATACCTCTGCAGAACAAAAATAAATTCTCTTATATGGTTAGTTACACTGGTGCAGACTCTACTCTGCTGTTTTCACCTGCCTACCGTGGATTGTGAACCTATGCAAAAAAGTCTATTTTCTCTCATGCCTGATGGGAGATTAGACCTATTTATGGATCCACCTATACTCAAAATTCAGAAGATTACTGTGTCTAGATAAAACAGGCATAGAGTACATGTCTCCTTCCAGAAATAAGCACAGTGGCAAGATATTTTTCTTGGATAAAACACTACCTAGAGGCTACACACAACTGTACAAACCTCACCTTGACACAGCCAGGTAGAAGATTCCTAGAGATACTAATGAAATTCCAACATGGAATGAAACCCCTATAGCACCATATTCTTTAAAAACTTGTTTCAGCTGCTGGGATTTGTGGAGTTTCTTGCTTTCACCCCTGGAATCTGTGGCTGCCTTTTCAGGGGATCCACCTGCATCCTAAAAAGAAAACATTTAGAAGTATTTATTAGGATTAAGCACAATATCATAGACCAGTCAGTGGAAACGATCTGAAATAATGAAGGAAATGGCTTACGTACAGTGCTGTTCAGAATGCTTTGGGAAGAGAGTAACCACTTGCTCTTTCACATCAGGAGAGCAGATGCCTGTGGCAGAGCCCATGCAAGCTCCCTTTTCCCATCTATTCATATCAAAGGGCTGCATCAATCTTGGTGCAAGTTCTTACACAATGCAAGTTTCATAATTAAAAGGAGTTGTTACAGTCCCACTCTTCCCTTTAATCCAAACGTGTGCTAAGGCACACCCACACAGCTGCTTGAGAGACAAGACTGACATTCCAAAGAGGTCTTTGCTCACATTCACTGCTCAGCTTTACACAGTGAATTCTTGCCACACAGCTTTCTGTTCAGGGGCTAAGCAGCTGATGGCACTGGAAGCCGACACGATACTATACTGATGCTAGCTTACAAACAGCTTACTGATAGAAGAGATCCAACATTTAAGTTCCTATAAATCATGCTCTGTATATCAGCTGAAAAAAGGAAGAACTGGGCAACTGCTACTGAGAACAGCAACAATCAATACTGTTGCCATGGTGTAGACAATAGCTACACAGACACACCAGTGGCAGTGTAAATAGCCTAACTTCACTGACAATTTTCATCACAGCAAAACTTATTGACAGCTTTTTATCTGGGTAAATTTAAAGTGCAGAACTTCGTACTAAAATATACCCCAATGCAATCTGATAGTGCAAAGAAGGGCATATATGCTGCTAGTAATAAGACAGCCTTTGGATACCTCTTCATACTTGCCATAGAAGAAACACTAATTGGAGAAAGAAAATGTCTCCACAAAGACCTCAGGATTTTTCTCTAGCTAGCATGTGGGTGTCAGGAAAGATTAGAAGAGTCCTTTATTTTCAGCTGAATTCAGCAGCAGTTGGGACAATATGACAGCCAGACTAAAGGCCACTGCTGCCCACAGGACAGGTACTGCTACTGAGTGCCTGGCACCAATTTGTCCTGCTGTAGATTGGTTTCAAGGCATGCAAAATAGAAGAAAAATACTTTTGATTAATCCTTGGACGTGGTGAGATTGTAAGTTAGGATACAAGACAGACTCCTCTTATAACACTCATAGTAGGATGCACTAATTTTAATCAGTGATTTTAACTATACCAACCACTCCCCCCACCCCCAAAAACTATGCCCCTGTTTTTCTCTAATTGTTGTGTTATTTTGTATATCATTTTGACAGGAAATCACATTTATCCATAAATAAACACTTAGGGAATTGTGTAGCTCAACTTACTCTGATTCTTGTATTTTTGAAATTTTCAAACATAATGGATGTTAGGGTCTTTTTTTGCTCATGAGCCAAAGCAATATAAAATAAACCTGACCTAGAAAGAAAAATGCCCAGTAGAAGAAATTTTTTATTGCTTAAAAACCAAGTAGTTTTAATATTAGGAAGTAAAAAAGGAAAAAATGTTCATATATATAATTTTTTTAAGCAGGCTCATTAAGCAGAAGAATGGATTCATAACTAGGTAATTACTTTCCGTCACCAGAAGTCATTAGATTCCATTCATGGCTGTACTACATGGCTGCTACTTCACCATGTTTCAGAACTCATTCTCTTTAGTTTTATTATAGGAAAAGGGGGGTCAGGGTAGAGGGGGGAAGAATGCGGTTTTATCTTTGTCTGTAAATTTGAAATACTGAGGTATTGAATGGAACTAGTTGAATAAACTGAACAAAATAGTCTCATAATACCTTCTGCCAAAAGCTATTCTAAAATTCAATCCACATCACATGCTTGGTCAAGAATACTCATTTATTCAACAGTGTGATTTTCTTAAAAGCTAAGCATGGTTTGAATAGTTTTTTAATAGCTGACAGTGAATTTTTCATCCAAACAAAGATGATCATTATCTACTTAACGAGCCAAACATGAAGATTTCTTCAGACAGCTGTCATGAAAACAGGAGCTGACTATCTACAGAGATACCTAAGCCTCAGAGGAACTCTGGGTCTTACAGCCACACTTGCAAAATGGATTATAAGGACTGAAAAATAGCTTGTTCCCACTGTCCAAGTACATTTCAATTCACACATGCTCTCGGGCTTACAGGCCAGGAAATTTCTGAATGATATTGATGCAAGATGTTAAAAAAGTACCACTTCAACAGATGTTATTTGGAATACCCAGCATGGTCATGTCTTGAATAACGCACAATTGTGTGAAACAAGCTACCCATTTTCTGTATAATTCTGCTACAGTATTTCTGCTAAAAAGCCAATTTATTCACATTGTTTGGGCAAACATTCAGCTTCTGGATGAACTAAGGCATGAAAACAAATCTGAAACATCATGTTATGTTTTGTAATGAGGCTACAGAAATTAACCTGAAAATTAAGCTGTATAAATTAAACTGTAAATGAAGCTTTGTATGGAAAGCTCACATTCAAAATCTTGGCACAAACAGGTGTTAAACCTGTCTGCCACAGAAAGCCAGCATAAACATGATTTAATCGTTTAATGCAGTGTAAAAACCAGCTATGTGTGAGGCCTTCATTTTGCCAATTCAAATTTAAAACCAGAACAATGCACGAATGAATTGAATGAATTTTTTTTGCCTCATCTCCAAAAAAAAAAAAGAACTGAACGGTGGAAGCACAGTGCAGGACGCTACTAGCCCGGTGCACGGCTCATTGGTTTTTCTCTCTCGGGTAACGCAAGGCGCAGGGGCACGGGCCGCCTCTGCAGGGCCCGGCGTGGACCCACGGCACCTCGAGAAAACCCTTTCGGGCACCGCCACCAGGAGCACCCGGGCTCCTCCGGGCCTGCCTGAACTGCTGAAAACTTTTTGTCATTCTTCACGACTCCCCTGAGTGCTCAAACCCTGCAGTCCCCAGGGCAAACACACACACAGCTCGCCCCCCACCCCGGGGCGCTGCAGAGGAACCCCTAATCCTACAGACACCCCCAAAAGCTGGAAAATACTTCCGGGCCGGGCCAAGTTGCGCCCAGCTCCGCACCGAGACATTCCCCTCCAGAGGCGGGCCCTGAGGCCGCGCTGCGCCGCTCCCGCAGCGCC